CCTGAGACCCAGGAGTCCCGACCCCCAGCCCCTCCTCCCTCAGACCCAGGAGTCCTGACCCCCAGCCCCCTCCTCCCTCAGACCCATCAGTCCTGACCCCCAGTCCCTCCTCCCTCAGACCCGGGAGTCCTGACCCCCAGTCCCCTCCTCCGTCACACCCGGGCACCCAGGACTGGAGGACGAAGGTGGTCACGTCCTCTGAAATCTAGAAGCACAGGTTCCTGGCCCTCTCCCTCTTCCACACCAGGGGTCTGTGGACGTAGAGCCCCACCTGGAGGCGCCAGGTGGAGGCGAAAGGCGCGGAGCGGGAGAGGTCCACCGGCGGCCCTGTGTGCAGGGTCCGGGACGCCCAGCTGGTGGCTGGTTCCCGGAGCAGGTTGATGAGGCGGATCCAGCGATCGAACAGGAAGCCCACCTCGTAATCAGGGGCGTCCAGTTCCAGATAGTAGTAGCGGCCCGTGGCCAGGCGCAGCTTCAGGCGCCAAGCGGCCAGGTCGTGGACATAGAGGTGGACCAGATCCAGCGGAATCATCCTGGGAAGGGCATGGCGGGAGAAGACGGTGGTTGTATTGATTTGTGTCCTAAGGTACAGTACCGCACCAGAACTCCATAACAGTGTTTAGTCTATATTTTAAGCCAATCAATCACCTTTGAGATAGAAAAACAGCAGATGGGGACAGAGGAGGAAGCAAAGTTAGGGAAAGTGTGATGCCATGCATCATGAAAATCACTAGGGAATCAAGGAGCAAAGACAGAGAGAGAAAGCCCGCCCCAAGTTGGCACCGTGAATTCCAACATGTAGCCTCTATAAAGGGACCCGTTCCTGAGAAGGATATCATGCTTGGTAAAGTCGAAAAACCACAAACCACTGCCATCTGGTAGATTCCAACTTCTAGCCACTCTTCTTTCTCCCCAGGAACAGCTAGTGGGTTTGAACCGCCAACCTTGCCTTTAGTAGTCCAGCCCCTAATCCACAGCACAACCAGTATGTTCTTTGGCCAACTAGACCCACCCACTTATCAAGTTGATTCTGACTCATAATGACCCTGTTTAGGATCCTGATATGGCACTGTAGGATAAACAATGGACTGCTAACTGAAAGATTAGCAATTTAAACCCAGCAGCCACTCCTTGGAAGCCCCACACAGAGTCATTATGAGTCAGTACTGACTCCACAGCACTTAACAACAGCAACATAGGGTTTCCGAGACTATAAATCTTTACAAGAGCAGACAGACTCATCTTTCTCCAAGAGGAACAGCTGGTGGATTTGAACCACTGACTTTTGGATTAAGCAGTCCAACACGTAACCCACAGTGCCACCGGGATCCTTTGATAAAACAGAAAGTCAGCAAAAAACAGGATGTTGCTCAACTAGATAGGCTGATACAGGGACTGTTTCAATGGGCTGAAACATGGCAACAGTTGTGAGGAAGACACGTTCTGTTGTACATCTGGTCGCTGTGAGTCAGAACCGACTCAATGGCACCTAACAATACTGTGTCTGCTTTTGTTGTTGGCCGATGTCGAGTTGACTCTTGACACATATGTGTTTCTAAACTGCGAGCGAATGAAGTCCTATTTTTTGAAGCCATGCGCACTTGTATTTCTGTTGTAGTTGTAGTTATGTGCCGTGAACTCAGCTCCGACTCATAGCGACCCTGTAAATCTTTACTGGAGCAGAAAGCCTCATCTTTCTCCCATGGAACAGCTGGTAGTGGTAGTAATAACACCAGGGAACTAAAGCAGGTGGCTATCACAGGGGACATAGGTGCAGATGGACGCAGTGTGGGATGGGAAGTGGGGGGAGGTACCTGGTGAGGATGAGGTTAGAGGAGTCCTTGCCTTCAGGAGGCTTTGCGATCAGCAGGATGTTAGGCAGCACCAGGTCAGGAAGGGTGGCAGCCACGCCCATGGTCAAGCGGTTGGAGCCGTGGTGCAGGTATACAGGGCTACCTCGATGTGTTACCTGGGGTGGCCAGGGAGAGGGGCTGGGACCACACTTTTCTCCAGAGCTCCCCCAGCACCCTCCCACTCTAGCCCCCAGCTGCCTCATGCCTGCCTACACCCAGATCCTGAACCATTTGCCTCCATGTGTGTCAGAGTAGAACTGTGCTTCACAGGGGTTTCAATCTGTGAGAATGTTCAGAAAAAGTTCTCCAGGACTTTCTTCCAAGTCTCCTCTGTGTGGGTTCAAACCACCACCTTCCCGCCTCTTCCCCACCACAAGTGCCTCACTCCCCTCTAGCCCCATCTCAGCCCCAAGGCAGAGGGAGCTGGGAACCTGAAAAAAGTTACTCTCGAACATGGGCAGTGGGCGGAGGGGCAGGTATTCGCCCTTCTGCAAGGTCTTCTGAAGCTCGCCCAGAATCGGGACCCACTTTGGGGGCCCCTGGAAGAGCTCCATGCGCCAAATATTCCGGAGCCGCTTCATGGTGGCCACAGGAGGAGCAGGCGGGGCACAGGATCACTGCCTTGGTGCCTTGGTTGTCACCAGTGCCTGGAGCTCAGCTGTCACAGGGGCTGGGAGACATGGGCCGCGGCCATGGCAGGGAAGGTGGACAGCATTTGTGGGAGGGGGACCAGCTCTGGGGGGAGCTTTGTGACATCATCAGACACTTAGGGACTCTTGGTTCTCTTCCTCCCTGGAGTCCTGGGGACTGGGCTGGGTGCCCCCTGCCTACCTGCTCCCACTCCGGATCCAAGACTGTGACAAATTAGGGCCCTTGATCTTAAAAGAAGGAACCCTGGTAGCACAGTGAGCTAAGCACGTTGGAGTGCTAATTGAAAGGTCCGAGGTTCAATTACACCATTCACTCCATGGGCGATGTTGCAGTCTGTTTCTGTAAACATTTACAGCCTTGGAACCGTGGAACAGTTGCAGTCTGCCCTAGAGGGACACCATGAGTTGGACCTACTCGAGGGCAGTGGATTCGGGAATCTTTGTGAAAGCAGCTCTGCTGACACACTGGTTAAAGCATTCAGCCGTTGGTGGTTCGAACTCCTCAGCTGCTCCCAGGGAGAAAGATGAGGCTATCTATTTCCGTAAAGATTCACAGCCCGGCAAACGCCGAGGGACAGTTCTATAGGGTGGCTGTCTACATACAAGTCGCGATCCACTGGACAGCAGAGGGTGGATCGTGCTAAAATATGTAGTGTTTGTTGTCTGTTTTTTAAATGTGTCATGCAAAACGCATGGTTGTAGAAATTCTGGAAAATACAATCAAATGGAAATGACAAAACCATTCATAATCCCCCCTAACCCTCAGTGTCAACTTTGAGACTGCCATTGTCAACATTTTATACATTTCCTCCTAGAATGTTTTTCACAGTTACATATGTGTGTATGTGTTTGTATGTTATAAGGAACTGCAGTGTAGTGAATTATTCAATATGACCCTCTAGCTATAGTCTTTGTGACTCCCACATAATAAATGGGTGGAACTATGCAACTATGGTTCCTAAACCCTAATGAGGTGATTGGTCAGTTTTGCCATCTCCTTAACTTAAAATGAGCCATCACAAGGGCAAATGAGGGGACTTCACTGCCCCCAAGAAGAAGAGATGGGGGCAGAATGTGCCCTTTGCACCTAGGATCCCAGAGCTGAGAACCTCGTAGATCCAGGAGATAGTAAGAGAGTTGTAACACCAGAGACGGTGCAAGATGGCGGAGGAACGACAGCTGCAAGAATCAGGAGACTGGTGGGAGATGATGCAGTGGGTTTCCCAGTCCACAGAGCAAGGCAGTTATAGTGGGTGTATGGCGGTACCCACCCACAGAGCAAGAGAGCCATGTGCTTTTGGAAGGAGACTTTCTGGTGGAACGGGGTGCCCTTGGACATTTATAGACAGAGCTAAGGAACCAACAGGGCAACGGCTGGACTGGTCCAAGAACTAGAAGCATCATGGAATGACATCAAGAACATTATATATGAAGAAAGCAAAAAGGCCATTAAAAACATAGGAAATAATTTTGGTTTCCCTTGCATCATAATATGGAGTAGACACTGGAGAGGGAGAGAAAGGAATAGTCAGAAACACCACACTAGAAGGCTTGTAAGTACGTCTTCTGCCTATGACTGATTGGAATACC